GATGACGGAGCAGAAATGTAGCCCGCCAGATTGCTTGATCCTACCCTGGCACTGCTGATTACAGCTGAACCCACCACAGCAACTCCCAAGACACAAAATAAGGAGCGATCTTGCAAAAGTAGCACAGTCCCGTGCTACAAAGGAGCACATTTTTCAAGTGTGGCTTCTTAAATGAAGTTTCTTCCAACACTTCATTTTTTCCCCCAGTGTTTTTAACTATAAGCTCAGAATTGATGGGGTCTCTAAAAATCAGTATCCAAAATGATAAGTCGTGCTGAATAAAAGCCCTTCCCAGCAAGGCAGCAAGTCCTAGTATTTGCTGCCTGTAGAGAGAAGGAACTGAGGAAAAAAGGGAAAGCCATGCTGCTTTACACACCAGACGTCAGGCTACTGCCAACAGCAGAGAAGCAATCAACAGCTCACAATCAGGTTTTAGTATAAAAACAACCAGAAACTGCAATTGTGGAAACTACAACAGCAGAGGAGCCAAAGAAAAGTGTTTCTGATACTCAGTGACACCTTTATACGGGCAGACGTCCACTTCCTAATAGTGTGTCTTGTCTTTGATGAGACCATCGTGCAACTCAGGGCAGTAGGTTTGCATGGCAAGGTTTTAGTAGCTGAGGGATCTACAGGGGTGGCTTCTGTGAGAAGCTGCTGGAAGCCTCCCCTATCTCCAGTACAACCAATGCCAGCCGTCTCCTAGGTGGACTTGCTGCTGGCTGAGGCCGAGCCCATCAGCAACATCAGTAGCACCCCTGAGATAATGTATTTGAGAAGGGGGAAAAAACTGGGCAATGGCAAATGCAACCAGAGAGACAAGTGACAGCATGTGAGAGGAACAGTCCTGCAGACACCCACAACAGTGGAGGAGGGGGACGAGGTGGTCCCGGTGCTGGAGCAGAGATTCCCCAGCAGCCCATGGTGCAGCCCATGGTGAGGCCGGCTGTGCCCTGCAGCCATGGAGGGTCATGGGGGGCAGAGATCCACCTGCATCCCCAGGTGGACCCCACACCAGAGCAGGGGATGCCTGAAGGAGGCTGTGACCCCATGGGCAGCCCAGGCTGGAGCAGAACCTGTGGCTCTATGAAGAGAGGAGCCCAGGCTGGAGAAAAAGAGAGGAGCCCAGGCTGGAGCAGGTTTGCTGGCAGGACTTGTGACCCCAGGGGGACCCAGGCTGGAGCAGGCTGCTCCTGAAGGACGGCACCTCATGGGAGGGACCCACGCTGGAGCAGTTTGGGAAGAACTGCAGCCTGTGGGAAGGACTCACGCTGGAGAAGTCCATGGAAGACTCTCTCCTGTGGGAGGGACCCCATGCTGGAGCAGCGCAGAGTGTGAGGAGTCCTCCCCCTGAGGAGGAAGGAGCAGCAGTGACAGTTGTGTGACCACAACCCCCATTTCTCAAACCCCTGTGCTGTGAGGGCGGAGGATGGAGAGAAAGGGGGTGCAAAGCTGAGCCCAGGAAGAAGAGAGGGGTAGAGGGAAGGTGGTTTTAAGATTTCGGGGGTTTTCCTCATTATCCTACTCTGATGTGATTGGCAATAAGCTAATTTGCCCAAGCTGAGTCTGTTTTGCCCATGACGGTAACTTATCAGTGATCCCTCCCTGCCCTGATCTCGACCCACAGCCTTTCCCTGTACTCTCTTCTCTCCTGCCCAGCTGAGGAGGGCAGTGACAGAGAAGCTCTGGTGGGCACCTGGCCTCCAGCCAGGGTCAGCACACCCCACTCCACTCTCCCATCCAATTGTAAAACAAACCCAAAAAGAATAATTAGGTTTACAACACACCTTATCCTGTATACTAGAGAAATGCCAGAAGGTATAATATAACCGTTCGTATTACCAGATCGATAGTAAATTACAGCAAAACCTTAGGGTGCACCGTAGGCTGCTCACGCGCCGCTACACTCCTCAGTATGCAATGACATAGAATAAAACGTAACGGCTTCTAAAGGCAGTCTGCAATTGTTTCCTCTGCCTGGCAGGTACAGACAAACACATATAGTGGTGACATGGGTTGATTTACTGAGTTATTGCAAAATACAATACTTTGCAATCAATACAGAGCAAGTCTATTCAAAAACGAACACATGGTAACATCTGCGTCCTCTTACGATAACAAAGTAAAAATTGTTGAAGTTTTAACAGCTGGAACATCAAACTATGATCTTCACAGAAGAGTAACAAAAGCACTGGTTGAAATCCCACTCCAAGCATTTAATTAGACGCGGTGTATGATCTACGCAGCAACTTTAATACTGGAGTCCAGTAGCCAAGGCTAGCTCTGGTTCACTGTACACCTGCATTTTAAAACTTTCCATTTTTATTTAATCCACTACTTAAAGTTCTTGCTCCTACCCTCTGCTTACACCACGCTGCCCCGAATTAGCCTCCCTTCAATGACCGACATCACTGATGGCCAGCCTCCGGAGCGCCAATTCAGACCTCTCTGTGGCAGCAGGGGAGATCACCAGAGGACAGAGGAAGGAAAGAACATCAGAAGCAGGAAAGCAGGAACGAGAGGCTGTGACAGAACAAGCAGCTGAAAACAGGACAGCGCATCCGTGACCGTTACAAAACACTGTTCGAGCGGCAGAATTCATACATGGATGCTTGTTGCTACACAGCTCAGTGATTTGTCACTGCAGGTGTTACACACATACAGAATTCAGCAGCAGCGCAGTAAATGATAAAATTGGGATCACTAATTTTACAGCAGTGATCAAAAGCACCTTTCCAATGCCTGCCAGTGCAAAGCTCGCATCCAAAGGCGATGGGGCTGAAAATACAGTTGTCAGTCAGCAAAGGACTTGTGAGAACACATGTGAGTTCCAGCCAGAACCGCTGACAGTGGAGAGACAGTGCCATTTTCCATGCAGCACTTGGAGAGTTTACTTCAGTTTCCCCTCTCCCTAGCCATCCCTCTTTTAAAGTAGTAAAAACAAACAAACAAAAAATCAACCCAAACAAACACACACACAAAAAGTAAAAAGACTTCATGGGAACTATTTCTAAAGGTGTTGTCAAACAACATTTCTTCAAGGCCAAACTGTTGTAATAGCATACAGAAGTCAGCTCCCAACAAGATGACGCTTTGTATTTGCCTTTCCAATATTTTTAGGGTGCAGTTCAGCAGTGTGAGCACCAGGTCTGCATTTACAAAAAATGTGTGCTTGTCCCCACAGGCAAGAAGATCTTGTACTTCAGCATCTGCTTACACGCGTAAGCTTTGTACACACAGCTGGTGTGTATACACCTTGCGAGTACAAAACAGGCTCTCACCTTTGAAAACCACAGTACTTAAAATATCTAAACTATTAGACTTCCAACCTCTTGCTTTGGTATTGAATCAATAGAAAATTTACAGTGCCATTCTTCAGCCTTACACAGACTGAGTTATTAACAGAGAAAATAAAGTAACAAGTCTGAGCATCCAAAGAAATCTACAGATACATTCATCAGCATGTAGTACATTACGAATAAGGAGGCAATGCATGGAGTTGCTACAGTGTGAACAAAAATTGAGTAGTTGTAGGGAAGCCTGAAAGTCTTCCTAACATTTTTTTTCCTCACTAAATGTTTAATGTCACTGTAGCAATGGCGACATAACAGCTTCTACTGTGTTACTTCCCAAAGCTGTACACTTCATATCTGATTGAAAAGGCGAGTGGGAAATGAAGGGCCTCTGAGGAGTTCAGCAGCAACACTTAAGTGCATTGAAAACATTGATAATCTGTGGCACATGAGAAGTAATGGATTACACAGGATACTTTTTTCTATTTACAGTATCACACACTTGTCTAAAGTCTCTGCTGCATTTTTCTTTTTTAGTACTTAGTCTGTGGCAAATCACAGTAAATTTATTCATAGAAAAAGGAAATCCCATTTTTTAATGAAAGCTAAGTGTCTAATGGGTATGACTTCTTGCTTAAGCCATCTACCCCTCTGAACCCCGTGAATCCCAAAATGTAATTGGCACAAAAACATTTTGATAACTTAATACAGGAACTGATTGCTCTTGATTGTTTACCTCTTGACTTAATCATTATGTTCACTGCTGGAGGATTATTGACTTTGCTAGGTGTCGGAATTAATACATTAACAACCAAACAAACCAAAACCAAAAAAACCCCCCACACTTCAAGAGTGACTTTGCTGTTGGGTATTTGACTGCATGATTGGAAATACCAAAGCAATGGGGTACATCACGGTAATATCATGCTGCTGCTCAGACACCAAAGGCTACAGCAAGTCTTCACAAATAATTGCTTACGCAAGTAGCAAGCAACCCAACTTTAGCAAAAAACCTGCCTTATCACCAGGCTTAGTAGGGCATCAGAGCCTTCAAAGGAGTTTCTGCTATCAGTCTGAAGATGCGGGGGTTTCCGGTTCCAGCTGAGGCAGCAGCAAATTACAGGGGAGTGGGAAGAAACTTTGTACAGGATGTGAAACAGCTGAAAGAATGACATATTTGCGCTTGAAGATGCAAACAACACTGCAGTAAAGGAGGAAAAACAACTAAGTGACGTGACATCTGTCTCTGAGGGCAGGAGACATGGCCCTCTACTTTGCAAGGAGTTTCTACAGAAGTATTTAAAACACTTAAAAGAAATAGAACGTGGAACAATCAAGCAGAAGGACAATGCAGAACAAAAGAACTGTTAGAAAGTCAATTTCACATCCTTTACACGAAATCTGAAAGCGTTTCTTCGTTGGTCAAACCCTGTCACCAGGTCTAAAGAGCCTTTACATAAAAGCAAGCAGCTGGATACAAGTATGGAAATTTTAAATATTTACTAATAGTTGTATAGAAAAGTTGAGTTGTGAGACTGAGAAAGAAGGGCAATGTTGGTTTTAGTCAGAGGATTGCATACTCTTCTAGAAAACAACAAAGAAAGTAAAACAAACCAAAATAATCCAGCCAACTTGATTATCAGCGTACTAACCTTTGTGTTTAAACCCTCGACTAAGATATTAAAAATGCACTTGTAACACCTGATCACAAAACGGGGTGTACCTGCCATGACAAAATTACTTTTCTGTCCAGCATACTCTTCCTTAGCTTTTGGTGCCACATGCTGAAGAAACTAGCTGCAAGTCAGTGAATGGCGAGTGTCAGCAGGCAATGATTTGCACTACACTGGTGGCTCCGTCATGATCGTCCTTTTCTTCAACACCTCCTATTTTTTTTTATCTTTTAAATTTAAAAATCAATCTTCCGTTTGGAAATTCAGAGCCAGGTCTGATTTTCTTCGTCACCTCTGGTCACACTGTAGGGCATCTTCACAGACAATTCTTATTTCTTGCTGATTCCATTCGTTACTTTTGATTTGGAGTGCCGATTCCTTCTTCTAGATGAATGGCTTTCACTATTGACTGAATGTTTCGGTGGACTATTGTCAGCACCTGCTGAGAAATAAATATTTTTTGACTACAGGCATTGCCAAGCTCTTGTCTAAAAGACAGTAAGGCTTTCTAGAGCTACGATGTTTACAGTATGGATTGTTTCAGGCTAATACAAACTGGTTGATACTCGTACGCCATCTAGTGGCCTATTTTTTTTTAAAGCAACTCTTAAAAGAATTCCATAAACTCTTCCTCCTCCTCTCCCCAAAAAAATAATCAAAACTTTGCTATAGCAGAATAGAGTGGGGAAACACCCTTCATTTTTAATGACATCAATAATTAAATCTCTACATTTTTATTACCAGCAGGTACTACTATCAGATATTAAGCCCTATGGAAGCGAGGTTGCAGATCCTTGTAAGGGTACACTGCTTGTTTGCAGCCTTTCATACGACAGACCATATTTAACTCTGAGGAAGCAGAGGGAGACAATGGGGACTGAAACAAGAATTCAAGAGCAAAACATGAAAGAAGCTGAAATTCATAATTAATGAAGTAACAGAAAGTCAGAGTCATTTGTTTAGCCAGATTTCTCCAGCATATGTAAATGGGAAAAATATCTTGAGTGCAAGCCGTTTTTTTCCAAAATATAAAAAGCCACAAATTTATTAAACTAAGAATAAATCAATATCAGCATCCAGAAAAATCATGTATGAAGTAAAAATAAGTTCTGCTGTGGGTGATTTTAAAGCATATGATAAATAAGAAATATTTTAAATGATACAAACACCTGGGGCACAAACTCTGACATAGATAACTTCCTCCTGTGAATCCTGGTCTTTGTTTAATAAACAAGACCATAAAGAGTGAACGGAGAAGGCGGGTAATTTAACTGACCTCTGATGTAGTGAAAAGAGGTCAGAGAAGGAGGCTGCCTTTGCATAGGATGGAGAAAGGTGTTTAAGATTATCAGCACTGTATTGACTAGGCAAGTGTCAGTAAGAACACAAGCTCCAGAGCACATCCTTGACTGTTTCTTAACAAACAGGAATAAAAGCACAATTCACAATCATGTTTCAAATCAAACATGCAAGGTTTGGAGATAAAACCTGTCCACAACAGTTATGAAATGCATAATGTCCTGGACCTACAAGACTGGCCTGGAATAATGGCATAAAAATTCAGTTGCTTCACTGAAAAATAAATACATTTCAAAGATTTAGAAGAAAAAAAGGCAGTAACATGAAAAAGTTTTGCAGATGATTTATCTGTATAGCTCCTACAGGGTAAATAATCCAGTTGTCTCCAAGGTAAGTTTCCCAAGCCTCATTTCCTAGGGCTGAGCTGTAATGCTACCATTTCAAGAATATAGGCGCAAAAGTGGCAATACCTCTACTGAATTTAGAATGAAGCCAGGAAGCATCTGGACTGTATGGGCTGTCTTCACTTTCTGATAAGGTCTGCAAAAACAAAGACACATGTCATTGGGATGCTGGTGGTTCTTGTGATCAGCGCCTCTCCTGTCTGCAATTAGACTTGTAAATGTAAACTCTGGCAGAAGCCCTTGTAAAACATTCAGCCAGCAGTTAGGACTCTTCCCTTCCCTAGTTAGAAGGTACAACACAGATGATACAAGAAGAACTTGCCACGTGATATGTTGTGTAACCAAGTACTCTTAATATTCCCCTAGCATTCCACCTGTACAATGGGAACTTTAGCTAACCATTCATCCCTGAATGCTTTGCTAAACTTACAGCCTCATTTTGAGTGACTAAGAGGACAGCATTCTTTAGAAACCACAGCGTAATTTGGGATCTGTCCAAGGCCCGCTGAATTCAGAGTTCTTTCTATTGACTTCAGTCAGACTCTGGGCCATCCCCCCTCGTCCCCATTTATACTAGCTCTGGTAAAGAATTCTCATATCTAGGAGCTTTGCAGTTTTAACTCTGGTATGAAACAAAAACAGGCTTCCTAGTAAAGTACCTTTTCTCGGTATCCGTAGTATTCTGCGTACCAAACCATCCCATATAAACACAGGAAAGTTGTAAAGGCCTAAACAAGAGAGGAAAAGAAAAAGAAATAATAATCTATTAAACTTTTTCCAAATTCCTTACTGGTTCAAGGTCTTTGGAGTCCCTGCATGCAGAACAATTCTCAATGGGAGCATAAGAATACATACAGATGACCCACATACACGCAGGATACACTGCCAGTATGATTTTTGACCTCACCCTCTACAGTCATCCTACAAAGGCAGTTGGTTGGCACTTGTAGGTATATTATCAGGAACAACCAGTCTGAGAGCAAAAGAATTCTCCTTTTCCCTGCCCCATGCTTAAGGCTGGGTTACATGTTTGGTTTTGTAGTGCTCTGATCCGGGAAGCAATTCAATACTTTTCTCCCCTGAAGTTTCAGGGACAAAAAAAATCACCATGTTAAATAAGAGAACAATAAATTCTGACTCCCTACCCCCTGTTCAAATTGTGTTCCCAACTAGAATGGAGAAGTATCTATCTGTCAGCCCATTATAAATGCCTTAATTTTCACTGACCATTAAAAATGTGTTTGGCGTTGGAGTTATAAGTCTGGCAAGACAAACACCCATTTACTGTTACAAAATGGGCATTTCATGCTGCATTTGCAGCAATTACACCGAAGTAGAAAAAGTTGCAGGCTGAGTGAGAGCGATTTGCCTGACAAAGCAAGGTTGTTCAAGTAGTTGTAAGACTTTAACATGAAACGACATGCATTACCTACTAACACCATCCATTAACTCCTCTTTCTTTCCAGTGGGCACTATAGGAAGCACCTCCCAAATCAGCCCCAGTCGCACTGACATTTTCTCTCATACAGATAAAAAGCCCTGTAACTTGTGTTTGTTTCATTATTAAGCACTGGTATAGTGGCTATATTCTGCTATGTCAAGAAAACAGAAAAAAAGAAAAAAAAGCAGTCACTCTAGTTCCTTCAGAGTGTGTTCTACACAATCTTGCGTTTGCTTTTCCTAGGACATGCACAAAGCTCTTTACCAGCATTCCCACAACGATCCCCCTGCTGCCAATGTTCCAGAGAGGAAGCTATTTAGATGCTTTCAACGCTTTTGCCACGCTTTATGTTTCACATGAGAAATCTCACTTACCACACAGAGAAGCCAAAACACAACATACAGTATTTGTGTTTTGGAAAAAAGATCCTGTCCAAACTTTATGCACACAATAGCTTCAAGGAAAGCAATAACCCTGCGGGGAAATGAAAGAGAGAGGGGAGGGAAAAAATGGTTACAGACACCAAGGATTTGACTCACATGTTCACAACCCAGACCCCAGACTGTCAGCTGCAGACAAGCACCACTCCCCAGTGAGCGTACGCCTCCCCAGCACCACCATCCACCGGAATTTGTTGGGAAATTTATTTTCCTTTCTATACTTCTCTTTAGTATAAACAGCATACACAAAGTGATAACTGACAGTTCACAATTCCGTGTGCCTCTGCTTGTGCAGGGAACGAGCAGGAGTGTGTGCCAGTAGCAGAGAAATTCTGTTTATACCTACCATGGTGCTTCAGCCCTCGTCAGATATAAATTTCTCTTCCACGCTGAACAACCAATAGACTCCCTGTTGAGTGAGGTAGAACTGTGCTTTGGGTATTTCTCTACTGGATGCAAGTTTACTATAACCCCAAAATAGGCCGTTTTGCTTACTTCAGATGGATCTTAACGAGAAAATTTGCATGAAAAAGCATTTCAAATTCTCTGAGAATCCACACGTTTTTTCTGGTTTACAAGTAAAGCCAGCTCCACACTATAGTATCAGAGGATTTGGGGAGAAATGCAAAAGGAAAAACTGCAATATTTAGTTTCCTCTCTGGCATCCTAAGAATCAACACAAGGATCTCCAGATCTCTCCCTGTTACCAGATGTTTACATCTTTCCAGGCTCAAAGCTATGGAGGCTTGTCCACCACCTGGTGGGCAACAAGGGGTTATCAATTCAAAGCTTCCATCATTTGCCATGGAAATATATTTAGTTTGTGTAGGTCCTGGACACAAAACTACAGCTTTTTTAACAAATACAAGTGTAGAAATGTGACTGGTGCAGCAAAAGTGTAGAAAATTGACTCTTCTCAAGCCAACGCAAATCATGAAGAAAACTATTAAATTTATAAAAGTTTAATACTTAACTCGTTCAATAGTAACTCTAAGGCTGTATATGAGCATACTCCTCAAACGTGTGCAGGCACACTTAACATCAGGTCAAGTGTTCCAGTCTCCCAGGCTTGACACTGCAGGATACAATCCCTTCCAGTACTCTCCACCACCAGGGAGCTGTCAAAAATAGCTCTACTGCTTTGTAGACAGGACCCAGTTCCCTCCATGAACGAGAGAGGAAAGATGTGTGCATCTTTCCTGTAATATCTACATATTACATAAACCTTTGGTATTACAGACATGATCCTTGTGCAAATAATAAATTACAGCTTTATCTGTACCATCTAAGGGGACCTGCAGCATGATGAGTGGGCCCAAAACTTAGAATTACGAAGTAGCACTTATTTGACCAATATCACAAATTAATGAGGTGCCTATTAGTAAAAACTTGAGAGCAGCATTACTCTGTTAGGTCACCAACTATTTTTCTTTCTTGGTTTTATATTTTTCACCATCAGGAAGCAAACATATGAGGGCATGATATACTCTAAGGTATAAACAAAATAATGGGTTATTTTCAACAAGGACTCAAAAATGATACAGCTGTCTGTGCTGCATTTATACCTTCTTTCCATTATTCTTGTTAAGAATACTGGCTTAAGCACATTGTACAACAGGACAGCTAATACAGTTAAAGAAGTGGTAAATCAAAAGATAGAAGAATGCTGACAGGGAAAGGCGTTAGTGTCCTACTCAAGGGTGACAACAGTAATAAAACTAAAGACACTAACTTTTTATTCAATCAAAACAGTCTTGTAATACCCTAAGATATTCCTTTTCCAGCAGACACTGGCTTTGTTCATGCCTTACATCACTTACTGTCCATCTGTTGAGAGTGAGGCTACAGCATCTGTTGCAGAGAACACAGTTCCATACTAATGGAAGACACTAATTTTAATTACTCCCATGGTTAGGCTGTTCCAAATTTGATTTGTACCTTTAGAAGTGTGTCAATTGCCACAGATATGAATAGTCTATATTTTGCTTTTAATTACTTCAGAAATTATATTCAGGATAGTTAAATTCCTGGAAGAGTGCTGTTTTTCCAACAAACAACAGGGACTCCTAGTGTTGCTCTGTTTTTTCTAGCAGATTACAGAGGCTAGTATCATCAAGGAAAATACTTACCTCCATGCCAATTTCCCATGATCATATGGGGCAGTAGATGAATATCCTATTACATTTCTTGTCATGCAATCATAAAGAGATATTTGGGCATCTGTTTATTGATATATATTACATTAATGTGTTCACTGAGAGCGCTGAACCAAGGATGGTGGTTTCCATAAACGATTTTTCAGAGCCAGAAGGCAAATACCCAGCATCATATTTCCCTTCAGTTTCCAAAAGCATATATTTATATTGTCTCTTAGTTGAAAGAGAGTTCATCTTTCTTCCTTCATAATGCATAACTTCAAATATTCTTCCCTCAAAATTATAAAATTTTTTAATACCTGTCTTCAATAAGACTCTAAAATTATCATCTATAGTTGAGATTTCCTTCTTCATATAAACATCTCAATTCTTAAATCATTTAATTACAGATTTCAGTAACATTTCTGTACTCAAATGCCTATCTCCAAAATATTAATACAGTTGACCTGTAACTACTAAGATGTTTGTGCATAAACAGAGCAAGGTTATTTGATTCTAGTTGTAAATTAAGTAGTCTTATTAACTGTGTGATTAATTAGTTATCTTCAGTACTAAAGCACCATCCATACCAAACCCAGAAAGACAGGTTACCCTGTCACAATCATTAACAAAATCCAATGCCTTTTTATGGACTGTCTGTGTCACAGACCCTCTTTGGGAATCACAACACATGTTGTGAGGAGGAGGATCCTCCCTAAGGAAGGAGGTTTAGGCTTACAGAAAATATTATCAACTCCTACTCAGTATCAGTAAAACTAAGCAAGAACAGCGTTAACTACCTTTTGTATGTCCGTTGGATGTTACAGTCATGAGTTGAAGACAGTAATAAACCCATCCAGAAAAGCGGTAAGTCCATGAAAGAGGTGAATGTTTAAGGCCAGCCAAACCCAAGGAGACATGTATCACGTTCTCCAGGGTACATTTAAAGCAAGATTAGAGATCCCTTCAATTACACTGCAGCATACTCTGCTCTAATCTCCATTAAATGTTGAGAAAGGGGTATTCCTTACAGGGGTGTAGTGCAGCTGGAAACATGTCTTCCAGACCAGCACAGTTTCTAGGACTGTAACATCCTTGAGACTAACAGTAAAGGTGAAATAAGTTTGTCAGAGCACTCTCTCTAAATTAGATCTGAGCATTTTATGGTTCATTGAAATGCTACTCCAATTTAAAGCAGTAATGGATTCTTCTATTAAACATGAAAACGGTGCAGACAGTTCTGGAAATAAGACTAGTCTTGACAAAGAGAATGAAATGGCTGGTTTAATTTAAAATCATTGCCATCAGAAATTAGCTTCTTGAATAGTTTCTTCAAATATTATTTTTTTTAATTTAAGATGTGATTTAGGATTTTTTCCTCTTTTCCCATTTGTAAGCTTCCAAGTCATAAATCAAAAGGGACACCACTACGCTGCTCTTTTACAAGAAGCTTTTACAAGGCTACAGTAGCATATGCTTTAGGTACATTTTAATCAGGCCGTCTGGAGAAGGAAGTTCTCACCAGAAGCGATCATGCAACTCTTCATTTAAAGGTCTCCTCCAAGAGACACGCTCAAAGAAAACGTAGGCAAAGTAACCATCGTCCATAGCATTATTCTTTTCCCTCTTTGAGAACAGATTACAGTTGACAGCTGTGGTTTGTTTCACCGTCTTCCATTGTGACTCCGCCAACAGCGGCACTGCCCACGCTGACAGCCAGGGAAACACTGCCCCAGTGACAGGCACACGGCAGAAGCAAAAGCTTTATCCTTCTCAGCTTACAGAGAACATGGGCAACAAGGCCAATGCTACTTTGAAGGGGCCTAGCTTTATGCAGCAGTTTCTAGTTCTTCCTTCTGTTCTTCTCCTTACTCATTTCATCACTTCCCATGTTCTACCTATCAATCCAGAATTTTCCTTTCCTCTGAACTTGCAAAAAGAAAGAAAATCTCTCCATACTGTTCCTTATGCTAAAAACAACACAAGACAAGGACTGGCCTCACACAAAGCCTGTTCCTGTGCTGGACTCATGCTTAACACCTGTCCAAGTGCTCCAAGAATGCAGCAAGAACACTTACCCGAACACCCAGCACTGAGTTCCCACCCTCTTGCACTGCGTATCTGTGAGGTAGGCATAGTATTGCCTGAGGAGGGAAACAAGAAGATCCTTCAGTGAAGCTGAAAGTCCCCGGAGCACTTACGTTTAGAAAACAAGTTTGCGCTACAAATGTATCTATACTGAAAATGAAGTGCTGATGGTTAAAATCCCATGCAATCGCTCGGGATGTCTACCAGATGGCTCCAATTCTAGTAGGACAGATTATCCCATAGATCGAATAGCTTGAAACAACACAGAAAACAATCCTGTGCGAAAGGACTGGGAAAGTACCCAAACTAGTAGGCTAGTAAAGCTACATATTTGTCTCCTGCCTCTCCACTGAATCTCCAGTTCTTTCAGGCAACGTGCAAGAGCTTCAAAAGTATTAGAGTCCCCCGCTTTTTCCACAGTTTGCCTTTATGAACAATTTCATTTTCTTCAGAGATGGGGGTTTGAATCTTGAAAGAAACCAAATATGGTTATTCCATATCCCGGGTAAGTACTCTAACCACTGGCATGTTTTCCTCTCAAGAACAGAGTAGAATTCCTCACTGTTTTGACAACAGTCTGGAGACCATTTTGCACTGTATTTTATGGTCTTTATGCTTCTAAATTTTAAGAGTTTACAGAAAGGAATTCCAAAGTAGTGGGACCAAAGTTCCTTTTCTCAGTCTCTGTCTCTGATTTCCACTGACAGATGGGAAAGTGCTGTTAGCCCAACAATACAAGAATTGTTTCAGACTTCTACGGGTTGGTAAGTGCCATAAAAATACTTTAAAAGCTCACCTACACAGGATCTTAAATTATGTCCCTGCCCATGGCTGGGGAGTTGGAACTAGATGATCTTTAAGGTCCCTTCCAACCCAAACCATTCTGTGATTGTATGTTTAAGGTTATTTAGTTACCAGGGAAATCACTGCACATAATTTCAGACACCAGCAGCTGTATTTTAGGAATAAACCAATGCACAGCTGCCATTTCACTGTCCAAGGTAACGTCACTCTACCCATGACTGGGAAGTTCCCTGCCTCTAACTTCAAAACCATGTGCATTCTGTCTACCTCCAGCTATGTCACAGGAAAAAAAAAAAATTATGGAGACTCCGCTAAGACCATGAAATACTGTGCACAACTAAGAGCATGTTAGTGTTTCTACACAACTGTTAACACTGCATATATACTGTTCTGTTACTCAGAATATGGTAATGCGCTATCTTTTCTTATAACATGCTAATATTTCCTGTAGACAAGCAGAATAAGGAGCTCAGTTACGAAAAAGAGCAGCTCTGTTTTTCCTCATCTACACTTTTATGAGCATCTGACTCATCAACCTGGATACTTTCACGTGCAATCTTCAAGGATAACATATGCAGCAAACTCACAACACAGGCAGATGCTATACAAATAGAAATAGGAACACACTGGTTCTGCATCCTTATGGAACCACAGATGTTTATATACGTTTTACCTTATTAGTTTACTTGGCAGAAAATACACTTTATTGAAAACTGGTAATTGTTTTGCTTTTCATGCTGGCAAAAGCATAAATTTCTTGCAATGTACTTATTCACAAACTATCTTCAGTTCTTGGGTGCCTATAAGCCAAGCTACTTTAAACACAATTAAAAACACCATGGCAACAAAATTACCTTACAGTGGGTGCTGTAATGATTCCTATGAAGAGAATTCTCCCCCAGCTTAAAGGGTGGCTTGCTTGGAACACAAAGATATGTTTCAAAAAGAATGTGTTCAACTCAGTCAGCTTAAAAGAAGGAAAAAAAAAGGTTAGTTAATAGCATTCAACTTGTGTAACTCTTAATGAGCTACTACAGAAAAAGTATGGAGATTAATATAGGAACTGAAACACAGAAGGAAAACTATTTATGCTCTACTATAGCCCTGTTGGTTAGATTGAGGAATTCCAGAGTCCACGATTCCTGCTCTAGGAGAAGCAAGGAATATACTAGTAAAACAAATAATTCTCCCCTAGACACTTCAACAGAAGTATTTGCTTTCCTTCCAAAAAACCTTTCTAGAAGGGACCAGACATTAATTGACACTGCAGAGATCTTCTGATAACTTTCATACCCTAAATCAGGTATAATTAACTAAGGCAAATTTGGTAGAGGAGTAGAAGTGATCATTTAAAAAAAAAAAAAAAAATCAAACAAACAAAAAACACCAAACAGTTCTGGTTCTGTTTTTAAAGACTAAATTCAGCAAAATAAAACCAAACAAACAAGCTCAAAGAAAAAAAAAAAAAGGGTCAGATTTTAGTGAAGCCTGCTAGCATTTACATGACAAAGTACCAAAGCAGTTGGGACACATCATGGAGTCTTGCTGGATCAAGGCCAGAATTCTGAGTATCCATGATCCATCCAACAGTCAATGGGAATGAAAAAACCCCCCACAAAACCAAGAAAACTAAAACAAACAAACAAAACCCCACCCCAAATGCCACTGTCTAGCAGATTCTAAAACTGTAACAATTGCAAGGAGCAACCTGCAGCCAGTACAGTGATCTGTAACATCTGGGGTTTTTCCCCACAGACTCTGTAATTACACTCCTGAACTATCATGTAACTCCCATGAACAACGCCCTGACCAATTCTGTATTATCTATTCCTTTAAGTGTGTATTTCAATGCCAAACAACATTGCATTAGGCTATCTTCTAGCCAAACACAGCCAATAAGTAACTGAGCTGATGGCAGCTTTGATTTCATGGAATTTATTTCTTACCTGCCAGATGATCATGAAAAGGTAGATTCCAGCCACTCTTTGAAATGAAGACTTAGGGTCAAACCAGCGGACGTAGGTCCAGCTGGCTGGGGTGAACTGTAACACAGCTCTTTTGATTTTCCCTGTGGTTGTGTGAATGTCCCTAGAAAAAGAGAATGGCTGGAGTAAATACAAAGAATATGCAAAGGAGAAAAAAAAATAGCAATAGCCAGGTTACTGATGTTTCAGTACAATCACACTTGTTTGCTGGGCAGCAAAGATCTTCACAGACACAACTGTGTACGAGGCAAGGGTGAATTAAGAAATAGGATCTATTAAGCATTTGGGCCAGGGGGCATTCTGCTATGAAAGCCCACCCTTCTCTATCCTCAGTCAGTAACTAACTACAAAACACAGCTATCATTCTCTCCATGAAGGAAAGAAACAAGGATTGAGATTCTGTAACCCCCCTGGAAAACCTAGAGGATATTTCTTCCCAGTGTATGCTGCCACTGCTCTTATCCCAAAGACTCCTTGTTCCAGAGCCCACTGACATCAACCCTTCAAGAACCTGTCAGATTCACTATTCATTAATTGCAGAAAGGGCTGGCTCTACAGGTTTGAAAATACTGCCCTTAGAGCATACACAACCCCTGCTGTTCTGATATTAGATGCATGCAAACCTGCTGGAGACGCAAGATAGCGCTGTTAAAAGCGAGCAGGCTTTTAAATTCCCTTTTGAAATGGGGTGTGAATGGAGGTTCCTCTGACAGATGTGTTACTGGTTCTTGCTTTTGACAACATTAATTCAGGTGAGCAACAGTATCCAAAAGAAAGGGAATTAAGAAAAACTCAGAGTTTCCTTTTCTGAAGGAGGACTAGCAGGGCTAGAAGTCAGTTTTCAGTCTTATTTCCCTGGCCCTTCTGGACAAAAAAGGAAATAATTAAGATTTGGTATTTCTGATAACTGCTGTTCTGTTAGGCTAGCGGGATCTTAGGTTAGGAGGAACCTTCTGATCTTTAAGATCCGTGTTTATTCAACAAAAATAGAACAAGAAAACAAAAGGGCACAGTCAAAAGCTGCTCATTCTATGCAGCTCCTCTTCATATTAAAGGTCCAAAAATCTACCCACGCATTTAAAAAAGACCGTGAGGAAAATTATTCCACAAAAGACAGTAAAAGTCTAGTCCTGCCATAGATACTCTGCTGTTTTAATTTTCAGTGAACTCTCTAAAAACACAGAGACCACCAGCTCTATAATGCTCATTATTCCTTCTGAACTATAATGTGGGAAAATTGAATTGAGACTAATGGCTAGATGGTTCCCAGAGCAATTAACAAATTTGTGAGTAGAAAGCACAGAAGTTCATGTAGGGTATAAATTTAAAAGTCAAGATTTGAGCTCCCTTTCCGTCTCTTAAGATGATTTGGCAATTCATTTCATTGAAACTTGACCCTGTTTCATCTATGCCATTGGTAACGTGCGGATAACCATGCTTGCCACCAACTAGCAGGGAAGAGGGCAGGAGAGGAGCAAAATACCGGGGTGTAAACCGTACCTGGACAGCTAGGAACTGAGAATTACTAGGCCACAAGCTGTTGCCCTTTTTACACAACAAACATTTTATTTTGCAATTACTCAATTTATTTTAGAAGGTCAGCAATGGGGTAAGGCAATTCCCAGCACAGGTACACAACCAGTCTGATTCCTCTTCTGCAATTATCAGGGTTGACAGATTGCCACACTAATGCCTCATCAAGGTGAGCTCAAATCTAGTTTAAAAACACTGTATAATAAGAAAACAATTTCAATTCATTTTGTTCGCTGCCTTCTTCAAAGTTTAAATTTGTATAAAGTAAACTAAAAACGCTAACAGCTTTACTACTTCGTATCTTTGATCGGCATCAAAGCTTGTAACTTAGATTGCAAAGGAAAATTATACATCATCATATTTACAAATATATGCTGTACAGCAGCATTACCAAGAGATGGACTTTTAGCATTTAAAATAAATTTACAGTATCGTTAGCACATGCAGTTTACATACTATTTCTATACCACAGGTGTTTTACATATGCGAAGGTCTAGTTTCCAAGGAAATTAATATTATAACATCAAACAATGTTTATCAAGCTTTAATTTAGACCTACTTGAAGCTTGCCCAGTGATAGGTCCTCATCTCCAAGAAACGACAAACCACCATGCCCAACCAGATGCCACCCCCGTTACAAAGCAGGATGTCCAAAATGACTTGATCCCACCAGCATTCGGCAAAATTAGGCAGAAGGTGCATGAAGAAGAGCTACAGAATACAGCGAAAAGATTCTGGGTGAGGAATAGCACAGAATTCATACAAACTCACTTTTTAAGTACACATTCAAAAATCAGCTTTTCAGTACATGTCATACTTTAAGGACACGAGCCACAATCACCGTAATTTGATGGACTTCCTTCCATTAACTTCAGGAGACCTTGGATAGAACCCCACAAGACAGAAGTTTCCTTCTCACCGTTCCCTGTTGGGGCTATGCTGTATATAAGGATGTCATGCAGCTCTTGGTCTCTCAAAGATGATACACAGAACATTCATAGAAATGCATGCTATAAGCAAAACTACTGCATTTCTTGGAGGAAAGAGGTGGTTTGTGCTTTTAAAAAAAAAAAAAAAGAAGAAAATCTTTTGTTTATTTCTACTAAACAGTTTTAAGAAGTATGATTTCTAAACCAGCAACGAGATGCAGTAAGTAGAATGGATGCATTTGTAACTACTGTCAGATTTCTAAACCAGCAACGAGATGCAGTAAGTAGAATGGATGCATTTGTAACTACTGTCAGTACTACGCATGTTGGAGTTCAGAACTTACTACTTGTTCTATTTCAGAACTCTGTCTTACATTTACTATTTTTTAAAAAATCTAGTGACTGGAAAAAGATCACCAGTATTTCAGATACTACAAGCTCTGCTGATATACTTGATCCAGATACAGCTCAAGAAGTTAAGATATTCCACTGTCCCTCCCTACTTGGTCTCTGGTAAGCACTAATGATGAAGGTACCTTTACAGTGAAAACAGGCCAGAAACAGCATCAGACTGAAAAGCTGACACCATCTGCATATTTCAAAATATATTAAGTCCCTTAAAGATTTCCCCTGGAAAGTGTACAAATCATTTACCTCTGAAGCAATCTGTTCCTTTCTGAATCCTCAGCTGAAGACCACTGTGAGGCATTAGTAAGGCAATCAAATGTGTTTACAGATACATTTGGTGAATTTACACTTTTGACAGAGTGATGGAGGACAACTGGTGAGTGTTAAGGCAAGATATAAACACAGTTTACTGAGAGCTAGAAACGGATTCAGCACCTCCCATTCTCCTTGCAATTGCATTCTCTATTCTACAAGAAAAATCACAGCAACCCAAAAAATAGACTGAAAAATTAAGCTGTCGACTGGAAATTGAGACAGCCGTGCATTATGCCGTCCCTTTGGAATACTCAAGAAGGTGCTTAATACAACACAGGGCAAACTAAACAATATTCTTACCTCTACAAAAACAGTACCATATTTGTCAGTTAATGTACATACACTGTGTCTGTGGGAGATTATTGGTATGATTTGGTAAAGTATCTTTTGTTAACAAATGCATAAGAAAAAAGAAAAAAAAAAAATCAGTTGTGGGAAAAGGACCAAGAAGAATGTTTCCTGTATACAGCAAGAATGAACACCAGTCCACTTATAATAAATTACAGTGACCAAGATCTTCTTTTGAAAACTCTTGTGAAAGTATATCAAAGCAACTTGGTCTTCTCTGACAAGGCTATGGGAATTTCCACCTTTAGCAAACTTGGGATTTCGCTTCAGGACCCAAGCTATACAATGTTGCTCATTATCCTGCTACAAATTCCCTTTCATTATTTTAATTAATTTAACCTGAAAGGGGCACTGGGCTATGAATCTCAATCTGCAATAATCCAGCCAAAGACACCTAAAGTTACAGAAAGTAAGGCAGCAAAAATCAGAGCACAGGTGCTAGAACAAGGTCTGCCTGCATCCCAACTTTAATCTGATAGTATGGAGCAAGAGCCAAGTGTTCCATTTCAGAACGGGGAGCCAGCTGAAATCCATTAATGCTAACAGGAGATGCGCAGCTAAATCCCCGTGTAACTGCCCTGGTAACTTCTGTAGGTTTCTAATGTCTCTTCTGAATTAACCAACTCATTAAAAATCCATTTGAGTGGTGATAACCCCTCTATATGTTGAACCTTATCCAACACATTGTCTGTTCCAATAATCTGCCTTTCAACAACAGGGAATGCTAGACACACCATGTGGTGTCAGATTGAAGATGATGGTTGTGTGATAATCAAATGAATGATAAGAGTGCGTGTGAAACAAATCTAAATTGATTCTTTTCCAGTGGGAAAAAATAACTACAGTAACTAGCAAAGCTGGTTTTCGTGGATGGGTACTTGTGAAATCCCAATCTTAAGCAGTTTCAAAATAGCTTAGAAAACAGCATATCCGTGCCACAGAAGAAAACCATGTTTTGAAAATGAACCCATGGCACCATTATTTTCAGAGAATTTTAATTTTAGACAACAAAATCCTTATCTATGTTTTGGAATTATAAATGTCTTGTCAGATGAGCCAAACATTCTCAAGAGAGCAAGCTCTACAGAAAACTATGATTTTAAAGACTAAATGCAGGTGTTTAGATCTCTACTTAGTATTTTAAGTGTGACAGGTTAGACTATGCTGTCCCAAAAGCTGATAAAAATTAGATACTGCTTTCTTTGTTCCGAATTGTCCAATCAAAGAATCTAATGAAATTGAACTCATTTTTATAAAAACACATCCTTGGATTTTAGGTGACACATTCTACTACTCAAGCTCTAGACTACATGCAAATTAAAAAATCAATATATCAGCTTTAATTACTGAAATAGATCTAACAATAAAGACTAGCAGTCCAAGCGACAGTCAACTGATGAATCTAGTTAAGTACCTGCATTATTATTTTAGCCAAAATAGGATTTGAAAGTGCCAACAGTCAAATGACTTAAGCATGTGCTTAGGAGAACTGTGGTAAAGCTGAGTTACAGAAGTAAATCAGTTGTCCTCCAAATCATGAAGCAGGGGACTACACTACATGTGAACTAGCTTAGATCCAGGTCTAGTTAAAAATCACATTTTTATGTCAGTGAGCATGCATAAACTAGGTTTGTGGGGTATGAGTTCCAGAGGAAGTGGCTATCCACTCAGGCTTCACAACAGAAAATGGCACACTGAATGGTGTCTTGTCATTCTGTAGAGACTTCTCCTCATAGGTCCTCATGCTTTCCTCAGGGATCCCTCCACTTCACTGTACAGCATGCATGACTATGCACAATGTGTAATACTGTTGTATGTGGGGTAAGGGGATCGTGACAGTAGATCACAGATATTGAAGGCGAAAAAGGAGAAGAATTGCTTGGAATCAAGCAATATTAGTCAACAGCTGAAGCAGCATGAGTGTTGACTCCCATAACAGCAGGAAAAAAAAGCATGGACAGCACCAGCCGGCTGGCCTAGACCTCCCTCCTATTCCACTTACCTAAACCCCAGCTTGCTGTTGTCTGCTAATGCAACTGCACCAACTGCTCAGCATCCGGTTCATAAGGCTTCAAATGTAAATCTGTACTGAGAACTACTGAGTCATCCTTCCCCCATGAACAATTCAAGTCTCATACATTTGCTTACAATGAAGAAAAACGGGCAGCTTACCTCAGTGAGCTCCCAGGTGATGCTAATAGTCCAGCACAGCCCGTAGCTGCGGATCAGCAAAGCCTTCATAGCCCAGCCCCAAAAATGCCCAAAAGCAAATATATCAAAGTGGCTGAGGATTCTCTCCCAGGTGATAACATGACAATTCACAGCATATTCCTGTTAATGCAAAAAAAACCCCAAACACCAACCTCAATAAACAGGCAACTTCAGGAACATTAGAATGAAGAAATTTCTTTCTATCCAGTAAGACAAGCCTGAAATTTTAAGGATAATTAAGATTTTAAAAGGTAATTAAAATACTTATTATTCTGCTTTCTTGTCCTTCTAAACTCTGCAGGAAAACATCCAGTATTAGGGCTCAGTGTCATCACAGTACAGCTCTAGTTTAGAGGGAGATAGAACAGACCTTGGTGCCTGCATGTATTTCTTATGACAGAAGAACAGCAGGAGCAATAAAATCAATAATACTAAAACCAGCAAAAAATACTCCAGAAAATAATTATTTGCTTTTCGTTGGGATCTTGATTTGAAATAAACTTGCAACTGTTCTGTCACAGATGAGTGGGAGATTCCTTAAGAAAATTAATTAATATTCTAATCATCAATAACAAAGGCAATGTGTTCTCATCATGTTGTACAGCAAGTCCTAGAAATCACTGCCCAACTGGGGGGAAAAAAAAAAAAAAAGGCAGTCTCCTGATGGTAAATGCATCTGTGGGGTGCTGTCTCATCACTGGGCACAAATCAAACTATTCCCAACTGGAAACAGATTTAAAAAAACCTCTGCTGTGCAACCCTCCTCAAATATACATTGCCACCTGCAGGTGACAACAGCACTGCTCAGTGCTGTTGAATTAGGAAAGGATTCTCTTGCAGGCCAGAACTATTGCTAATCCTGCACAAAGAGACATCAATTTGGAAAGGGGATGGCAGAGAGATTTAAATCCTTGTCTCCATAAAGAGAAGAATGCACAATTTCACACAAATACTTCTATCAGAAGGCAGTCAAGTCCCACTATGAACCTGTAAGTAACCCTTACTGCTGGTGCCTCCTGAAGTGAAAGCATGGCATTGCTCCCCCAACACGCCAGTCTGCTGGTCAGAGAAAGGTGCACCGCCTGTCCTACGGACGGCAAAACTGCAGCTTCAGTGCACGTACCCAAAGAGATCTGAAACCCGCTCATTTGCCAGCATGAGAAGCACTGTATGCACAATGGAAGGGGCAGGCCCCTAGCTACACCATGATATCTGAAATTCTGTGATGAGTGAACACAATGAAGCTACTCCAAAAGTAAGCTTTTTTTATGGGCTCTTGCCTTTTTGCTTTTATTTTTACTGGGACTTTTTCCCCTCTATCTCATCTTTCCAGCTGCAGCTCTGCCAGTCAGAGTGAAATGTGCTGAACTTTCTTTTATACTAAAGCAACTTTGCCAGCCCTGTGCAAGAGACCGACCTGCAGCCTTCATTATAGGCGCACTTCAAAAATTTACTCCAACTTCCAGTGGCAGTATCAGGATTGCAGAGTAGTAGAGTAAGTTTCTGCTGACTGCTGCAGTCAGGGAATCTGCTGTACTGCGGTTCTGTGCCAATAGTAATAGTAGTCCTCCCCTGAAATGAATCTATTTATTTCCACCTTAAATGTCAGGAGAGCCAGGTGAATCTGACTTACCAGACTCCTTGCCTCAGCTCCATTGTTGCTCAGCAACACCACTAACCCCCATGCTGCTCATGCTCCATTTAGCTACGTGTCCTCCCACTACCACCCTAACGGCAGGCTGCCCACGCTTCACCACCACCAGAACACAAAGTCACAGCCGTACTCTGGATGCTGGGGTGGCACAACACGTACTGCTGATCAGCTGAGGTGCAACACCTGAAGCATCCAGAGTTTTCCGGGTAAGGAGCCCGTATGCAGCCCTCACAATCCAACAGTTAATGTAAGCTTACTGCACTGTAAAGATTTCCATTCCCTCTTATGCACTACAGCTCAGGAGCTTGCAGCCACTGCTGCATATGCAGTAAATTGCTATTTGCCAAAGCCAATCCTGGTGTATTTCCTTGCTCGAGGCATGAGTCCAGTAACAGCACCTACTATACTATGGAGCAGGCGGCCATGGCACACTCATGAGCAAACCCAGGGGTGAGGAAGCATGCTGGTCAGGCGATAGGCAGTAATTCAATGCAATAGTGAAGAGGAGAAAAATGGTAATTCTTGCCTCTTCATGCAGTAACCCTCTTCTGCTTAGTGCTCAACTGCTCACACCCTCTTCTGCCTGCTTCCCAACATACTTCACATACTTGTCCCAGGCCTCCTTTTGCTAGCTCAACCCCCTGTGCTAGTGTCCTCACCTGAAGGGGAACATTCTCAGCGTTGAAAACTTTTTGCAAACTGCTCAACAGGCAGAACAAGCCTGGCCTTCCACACCACTCCAAATCATGGTCTAGTAAGTAATTTCCCAAAGGTAATAGCACCATTGCTTAGCTGGGTGACTGGAAGGCAGCAGAACCCTGCAGTTGCTGTATCGGGGTTTCCACACACTCAGTAGCAATGCCAGTCATGTACTAAGCTCAGAGCAACAAGGCAAGACCAAAGTTCTTCGAGTGCAGCATTGTGGCATCAAAGACACTGATGCAGGGGAGACACACCATATAGGCCTCATTTAGGTCCTACCTTGCTAAGTCCATTTTCAGTATCCAGGCTCATCTCTGTTATTTAAAGGAATCCAATGCCACCCCAGTGCAAACAAATCTCACACTCCCACATGCAGACCCATCCGAACATCCACATTAGAAAAGATACAGAGAAAACTGCTTTTCACGCCAGTTGATTTCAATGTTAAGAAAGAGCAGTTGATACAAGAAGGCCGGTGACTGCCAAGTATAGGCACAGACTTGCACTGCTCATGCCAGCAAATTGAGATTTATCCCTTCCCATTCATGTAAAACATGCCTAAAGAAGTAAAAATGGCCAATGACATGCCATGTACCATACGTACCATAATATCTGCTTCCCTTGTGGCATATCGAAGATTAGGATCCAGCCAGTACATCACTGCTTTTACCTGCTCAAAGTTAAGGAAGAGCACGAACACCAGGAACAGAAAATAGAGCACACTGAGACCTGCAAAAAGACTCAGCTTTAAAATCATGGTCACTCACAAAACTCCTTAGGACACAGTCCAAAAAGCTGCTTTCATACTACTGCTCTAGACATGCCCAGTTTGCACAAATGAGCTTACAGTGGCTACATGCAAAAAGCTTAAGAGACACGAGTCAGATGGCGATCTCTGAGCACTCGGGCCTCCACATCACCTCCTGTTTCAAGTGACATAAAATGTGCTCAACCATATGAACCTAATCAAAACAAAATCAGTCTAATCGGTTTAGACACGAGTAGTACAAGGCCATGCTCAGGGAGCTTTTTAATATGAGATACATTAGGACCCTAGGATTGGATTAGCTCTACCCCTTTGCTTTAAGTATTCTTGGTGTCACTAATGCAAGTCTCTCAGCCCACATACAAATTCTAATACAAAGATCAATTTAATAATATCACCTGGCATATTTGAGCTATGCTGGCAATAAGGAGTAGGAATAAATATAAACTAATGCATGCTTGAGTTCCTTTTGTGAGTTGGACTATTTGTGGTTTGAAGCTTTTTAAGATAAAGAAGATTATGATTTGTTTTCATGGCATTATAAATTATGAAACAGTATTGCATTTGGGACTACAGCCTCTCTCCTCCTAGTGTCTGAATACAGATTTTTTTTCAAGGAAAAAAGAAGAACTTGTGAGAAGTTAAAGAGTCCTCGGTGTAAATCTGTGGGTGGATGAAGGTGCTGTTGGGAGCATATCTTTACGTTATCCACAAGCTCACAGATATCAAAGACCACATTTGGAAGATGCATTTAATTACTAACACCATTTGCACAGTCTAGGACTCAAGCATACTTGTGTCCTGCAGCAATGTCATGGTATCAGAAAGATTAATGTGAGTAAACTCAGTATCTGCCACCCAAAATAAACGAGAGCAATCCTAAAAAGGTATTTTAAACTGTAACCAGAAATCATGTGTTATTAATCCCCAGGGTATGCTAGAGAACAACTTCCATTCAAGTACACACAAGACAAAGTATACGTTGTGTCCTCTGCGGTACATCCTAAAAACACGTCAGGTGAGCAGATGCCCAACTACTACACAAAGCACAGCCTACAGGCAAGGGCGCATCCCGAAATGCTGAGCACACACTACTCCTGCCCTTCATTTACTGAACAGGTCTGGGACCTCAGAGGGGTTAAATAAGCCATGCCAGAAGAAGCAGAATTACACAGGGAAAAAATGTTGCTCCTGGTTTTGCATACAGCCTTTTCCCTGAAGTACAGAGGGTCAAGCTCTGAGAGTACCAACACTGAGAATGACCATTCAATTTACATTAGCTGAAACCTGAAATGAGCAGTAGGGTCTGTGTTTCCCAAACTTCACAAGGAGCAGGATTCTTGAACAAGTACTATCTAATCAGCAGTATCCTCTCAATGTCAACAGATGAGTAATCAGCTACTTCGGGAGGCTATTTATTTTTAGCTGTGTAATGTGGCGGGAGAGTGAAATGTTCAGTCCCCTTAAAAAGGAAACAGATCAACTTTTAAAGTCAAATGTGCCTGTTTTTCTGCAAATGTGCATAAAGTCCAGGATATCTTCTGTGAACCCTGAATGATTTCAAAATAAAATTCCTTATGTGTTTGCCATGTAATGCAGATGTTTGCGGAGCAGAATTTCACTCACTAAGTTCTATAGGGAATAGAATTATTTTCCAAACTATGAATGCAACTAATGTTTACAGATATTTTTGCTGAAATTGTAAGATATTAATAGACATGTGTTAAGAATATTAATAAATGTATGTTAAGCTATACAATGATACAATTTAATAAAAAGCAATAGTGTATTTTGCCAATAATGACAAGAAGCAACCTACTAAACTGGGTTTAGTTAGAAGTTAGATAGCACATGCAGGAGCTATAAAAACCCAAACCTTTTTTGGGATGGGAAGAGATGGCAGTAGGAAGGGTATGAAAGAAGGAGATTTTGAAGTATGAACACAAAACAGCATTAAAAGCAAGTATTAGAATGAATGATCCCTTTTTGGTGATGTAATTTAATTTACATCGTCCTGACACAAAGTAACTACAATGACATTCCCAAGAATAATTAAGAAGAGATTATAAACAACTACTCAGAAGTGGGAAGGAAGTGACATTCACACAAATTTGATGCACAATTATGTTTAATGACAACTCCATTAATCTGAAAATTAAAACAAACAGTTCTGGAGAAGCACTGAAAAAGTCAGAAACGCAACTTAAACTTACCGAAAACCATTCTCCATATTGCAGGGTGAGGACGTGTAAATGGTCCTGTGGGCAGTAAACAAAAAGCCTATGAGAAGATGTGCCAATAAGAACTACATAATCGATTTTTTAGTATATCTCATATGCAGATTTGGCATAAGCACACATCACTTCAGTTCTAGAGAAGCACTGAAAAAGTCAGAAACGCAACTTAAACTTACCGAAAACCATTCTCCATATTGCAGGGTGAGGACGTGTAAATGGTCCTGTGGGCAGTAAACAAAAAGCCTATGAGAAGATGTGCCAATAAGAACTACATAATCGATTTTTTAGTATATCTCATATGCAGATTTGGCATAAGCACACATCACTTCTCCATCAAATTATGTAATATATCCAAATGTTGGGGCTCTATGTTTAAAAAATTTAAAAATGGTAACAGCAGATTTCAGAGAGGAAAAGGAGAATGCCAATTAGTAGGGTGTAGACAAAATGTTATTTTTATGGAGTTGTTTCCAGAAGAGTAATATGCTGGTTGCTCAGTAAACACCATATCTCAGGTGTCACCTGAGGGTCTCTTGATCTGGTTTCTAGACCACAGTTCACACATGACTTATCCAAATGAAGTTACCAAATACAAATATCTGTGTTAGCAAAGAAACATGGTGCTTAGCCTTGAGATGACCACAGAACGTTAGAAAACAGGACTGTTAAAACTTCCAAACTGAGTATCATATATCTGACAAGAACTCAGATACCTATGCTCTTTACCAGTGTCAACATTATTTACTTTAGAGACAGTGATTAAACTGACTTTACCAGATTAAAAACCTTTCATTTAACATGAAAAGCGGAGAAGTCAAGTCTAGTGAAACTGGAAAACCTCTACACATGGATCATGCGTTTAGGTAGCAAGAAATGGCCAAACAAGTAGTTTCAGCACACACTGCAGACTGCTCTTTCAACACTATATGCATAAAGCTCATTTTTCTCTGGCACACAGTTTTTCAGGGAGTGTTTTGTGAAAGGCATGGATTAACGATTTTTAAAATACATCCCAACCCTGAACTACAAAGCTGCCCTTAGTACACTCACTGTTTTTTTCTGAACACTGCCAATCCTGAGACAGTTCAGACTTGACCAGAGAATTATGCTCTTGCTGACAGCAACAAGTAAAAATTCAAAATAATTAAAAAAAATAAAACAAACCCAAACAGGAAGGCAGCTTTTCCTCCACAGAATTAAATGTCACAGAAGCGTTTTTATCTTTTTGTATGTTCTGCTCCTTGCACAGTTAGCAAAACTTTTGTCCAACTTAAATTTCTAAGGAGCAACTGCAGGTTTACATTGTAATGTGACTTAGATTATTTCCACCTATCGCTATCTTGTGGTACGGTGATTTATGTAAGGTGCTATATCGCTGAAAATTTGTAAAACGATGTTTCTATTAAAACACGCTGAGGCAGATTCCTTTTAAACATTATTTAAGGATCTGGCAGCATCATTACTTAGCAATCTGAGCTGCAACTGCACACCTGAAAATAGAGACACTGATTTTGAAAACCTGACTTCCTTGTTAGCTACAGACAAGCTATAAATAACTTGCATTTTACCGTTATCTCCGCTCAGTACAATTGCAACCCATTTTTACTGTTGCTTACTTTTGATTTCCTTTATGCTAAAGACCAAAAAAAAAAAAAAGTACTTTAAAAAAATAAAAATAAATATAGTGGCAATAAAGAGAAATTCACATTACAAAAAGAGAAGTATAAACCTTACTCACCATTAGGAAAAGCTAGAACACTGATGATTAGAAAGAAGAAAATCACAGAGAGGATACCCCTCCAAATATTATCCTCTGGGACAGAATCATCCCTGAAGAGACAGACAACATCAAAGTGTTAAAGCACATTCTAAGGATGAAGTTGAAAGGCTCTGAAGGTATCATATTATTTCAATAAAGGCTACACAGAAATAAGTATAAGAGATAAGCATGCTGGTTATATAATAAGACAGTAACTATGCTGAATGATTTTTACTCTGCACTTCTGGGTATCCCCTTCTTGCCAGACAGTTAAACACACAATCAACACATGCGAGACACAAGCATTGTTAGAAGTCAATGCAGAAGCAATGACTAAATTTCATATAAGGTGAAAAAAAGTCTTCCTGCTCTAACATTCAAAGAAACAACATCAAAAGTACTTTTCACAGCCAGCAGAGACCTAGACCAAAATCTCTGGAAGCCTGGATGCAATTCTAGGTTTCCCTCTGCTGTGTTGGTGCTGCTTGCAAACCCCTACCCTGCTCTTGGCCTGTTCCCAATGCCAAATGCCTGAGGTGAGTGCAGAGAGGGAGGAAATAATGATTATACAGCTTAGAATCTGTGTATAAGAGAGAGACAGCAAAACTTAAAAGAACCAGGAAGAAATATGTTTGTTTATAGATCTACGAAGAAGCGCTGAATAAAACACGAGGTATTATTTGTGCTACTGTCATATTATGGACAGAGAAGAGACCCAAGAATTCAATGGAATGCCAAGGCAAACTTGACCGAGCTCTTCTTTCTTTTCAGGCAGGTAGAATGTAGTGAGCAGCAGAAACATTAACAAACAACAATTCAAATTAAAGTTTTACTATCGGGATAATTTCATGTACTTCGGATCTCTTTGTTTATTTAACTATATTCCTTTATTTATTCCCAACCCACGATACCAAAAAATTCCCAGCAAACTTCAGAGGGATAAAGCTCTCCCTGGCAGAGCATCTGTCACACTTTTGGACGGTTCAGTAAAGAATCTGTAACAGCCTAAGTGCACTCCATATTAGGTATCTGCTGCAGTTATAAAATATTTCTCACTTCACCAAATTATTTCCCTTTCCCTCAAAATTGAACCTTAACAGCTCCACAGCCGACTTTCGTCACTGAGAGGCATTCAAGCACTGTGTTAGTTTAACTATATGGCAGGGGAAAGTACATTAAGCACGAGTGGTTTCTCTGCAGGCCTCAGGGACTTCCCACAGCAATTTTTTTAAGACCAGCTAAGTGCAGATTTACCAGCCATTTTCCAGCAGCCATGCTGTACAGGCTGATGCTTTACACCAGCTATGTTCCAAGTCCCAGCTCCAAGCCCAAGTCCCAGTTTAATGCTAGCTCCCTTGGCAATCTCAAGAGCCTCGTGCCATCCAGCACAATTCCCAGCCAGAGCCTCAGGCTCCCAATGGCTCAGACAGCAAAGCCATATTCCTGTTTTAACATATGCAAATAACACACACGCATATATATGCTGTCAGGGGTGCCACAGAGTTGGGGAAATTTGGCTTTTTCTTTCTTGAAGAGAGAACAGATTACTAGCATCACATCACTTCATGGAGGCCAAGAGAGAAGTGAAAGACACTGTGATCACATCACTTAATCGTCACGCCAGCTGGGCTGAAGGGTCCTCACCTTTGTATATCAGAATTCTGAGTACTACTCAGCTTCAGGAAAGCTGTCCTATTCAGGCTGGCACCACTTCCCCCAAAAAGATGTTTTTTATGGTGTTAAACTGCATTTCATTCCGAGTGAGTGGTAGAGGCATTACGCTTTGGCTTGCAGATGCCTTTCAAAAGGCACAGACATCCAATCTTCTTGCCAGAAGCAGGTAAAAACAGGTGGGAGCCAGAGACTCGCTACTGTGCACAAGTTAGGGTAAGAATTACAGCCTTTGCCTGGAAGAACTATTTTGGGGAAAGCCAAAAGAAACAGGGAAGCAAAATAACTGTTGGAGGAAAGACACAATCACAACAAGCTGCAATCAGGCAAATGTGCTAAATCATCTCCTCACTTAGCCTGAGGAACTTTGATGCTGACTTTGAAATATAAGCACTCATACAGCAGAAACAAGATTTCTAACGCTCGCGTGGGAGGACAGATAGATATTCTCCTGATTTAAACCCACTTTGCCAGCGCTTTTTAATTTGTGTGTCTTTTTGGAGAAGAAATAATAGAAAGACAAAGCACATAATAACTGCATAACCTTTTTCTCTCTCCTGCTCTTCTCCCTGCTCCACAGCACTGCATTAACACTGGCACATTACAAAAATGTGAACTAGTAAGTTATTACATCATGAATTTTAAAAAATTAGGATACTCAACTGAGGAAAAAATAGCTAGGATACTAAATTTAGAGTGTTTGGGAAAAAAAATCTTCCATGAACACCTCAAATCAAACCTAAACGTACAATAATCCAGTTTAATCAACTCCATTAATCAAGGGATGTGAAAGACCACAGCCCTGGAGCCTCACAGGTCTTACTCCTGCTTCCATAAACCACCACAACTTCACACCAGAAGCTACCAATCTGTCACCTTCCTGCTGTTGTCCTCCATAAAATATCCCCTCCAGCACCCACCTGCCCTCCTGCTGCTTGCCTCTGGGCTCAGAGAAAGCCACATCCCTCTCTCTAGGGAGGAAGAGGCCAGGGAAAGCTAGAGCCACTCCACACCTTCGCTCCAGGGCACAGCCTTGAAGCAGAAGAGCCTGTGTCTGGCTCGTTCAAAGCACTAGAAGGATGTATTTAAAAAGAGAATACCCTCTACTCCCCACTTTAACATGGAAACGCTAAACACATATTTCCTTTTCTGGATTTTAGGCCTACAAGGAAGCTGGGAGGGGACTTTTTACAAGGGCCTGTAGTGACAGAACAAGGAGTAACAGGTTTAAATTGGAAGTGGGGAGGTGTAGATTAGGTATCAGGAAGAAGTTCTTCACGGAGAGGGTGGGGAGGCACTGGAACAGGTTGCCCAGAGAAGCTGGGGATGCCCCATCCCTGGAAGTGTTCAAGGCCAGGCTGGATGTGGCTTTGAGCAACCTGGTCTAGTGGAAGGTGTCCCTGCCCACGGCAGGGGGGTTGGAACTAGATGGTCTTTAAGGTCCCTTCCAACCCAACCCATTCTGTGATTCTATGATTATTATTACTGCTACCTGAAGATTACTGATATCTGAAGTTCAGCTTCACCTTTACCTGTCAGCCCCAAAACAGTATCAACTGCTTTCTGTGATCCCAAGGAAGACCCCACGTTATGGCTTGGGACATCCAAAGGAAACACATTTGCTAAGTTTGTCTGAACCTCCACATACACAAGTATAGAAGAGGCAAGAAAGACTTTAAAGGAAGCAGAATTTCCTCTGCTTATGCTGAAGTTCCAAAAAAAAAAAAAAATTTACTTAACAAAATATGAGTGTATCATAGAAATCCCCTGCTCAATAAATTGACCACAGGGAAGCAAAGAATCACTTGTCACACCTTACTGGGAAACCTACAGCACTTTGTACCCAGGAGGTGGAAATACAAACACAGTCGCTGGAGACTCAATGTAATAAGCTCATGGGAAGAGAAAAGCCAGGTCTGGGAGCACATACTGTAAGCATGTGGGGAATCATCTCCTCCCCGCGCCAGTTTCTCAAAGAGCACATATGGTTTGGGTAGTGTCCCAAGTAGGTCAACAAAGGCAGCACTCTGGTATCACCCAGGAGATTTAGGAAACTCCTGCGACAGTCGGAAATAGCAGGAGGGGAATGGGAAGGAAATCAGAGTAGCTTCCACAACCTGAGGAGAAACAGAACAGTTAGGGAGAAGTCAATGGGTATTTAAACACAGGAAGTGAGGCAGAGCAGAGACAGACAGGGGAAAGAATGAAATTGAAGAAGTGAGAGTTAGAAAACTAGCAAGACAAATGGAAACAAAAGCTAGCAATCCTCTTGGAAAAATGCAAACAAACATCCCAGAAGTGAAGCAATATTCCTTGGGCCTAGAAGACTCCATAGCTCAAACTGCTGCTTGGCTCATCATCTACTTGAAAGAAAAAATGGCAAAATTCCTCTCCTCTCTTCCCCAAAACATGAGCCATCAATTCCATTAATCCTTCAGAACTGAGAATCCCTTAGTAACTCACAAGTTGGATCTAAATTAACCCTATAGTGAGAAAAGCAATCAGGCAGGGGGAGACAAGAGAAGCACTTCAAGCAAAGGTCTCTAATTAGACACTGTACCAAAGCACAGAAATGTGTCGCTGATTTAAGAGTTAAGAAGGGATCCCTGGGACACTCTACCTCGGCTTAGCTCTTGTTCCCCAAGCAGAAGAGATGTGTTCACAAAAAATATCTTCCTTGGGGCCATATGCAAGCTGAAACAAGAAGAGGCACACCTCAGACTATCTGCAGCTACGCTATGTTTCCTTATGCTCCTTTCTCAGCTAAACCCAGACTTGACCATTATTTTCACAACTGATAAAGAGTATACGTTTGGATTCTTAGAATAAAAGAGAAGATTACGCACTGAATTGTACATCAGGCCTAGGGATAAATAATGGTGTTTTGTCAAATGCAACAAGGCCACTGAAACCTGTGATTGTGTACCTACAACGTCACAAAAGCATAACGGAGCCTGAAACGCGATGCACGACTCAGCCAAACCTCTCAGGAATCACTGCACACAGACTGCACCATTTAGCCTAAAGGAGAATTAGGGTATCATCTTCACAGCCCCATTAAGTAGCAGGAAATAAAAAGTATGCACAACTTAGAAAAATACAAGGTAACCCTTCAGACCACATTACTATAGCCTCAGTTTACAAACAAGGCTCCTGGAAATAACTGTATCCATTCTCAGCTTTATTTCCACGAATGACTGCAGTAAAGAAGTCCACAGAACTGTTCCTGTGGTGGAGAAAGGATGTGGCTAAGCCTATCAGTACTGGGGCCCAAGCCAAGGTGTGAGTGGCCTCGAAGCGTGTTCTGTTAAGAGCGATGACACAAAACGGTCACTCCTGTCCACCGCACACTTGGCAAATTATCTGCTCGAGTGATGTCACTGCTAGGCTTCTTGATAGG